GTGTCTCTAGCTTCACGTTTCTGACTATGGAGTCTCCAATTACCAGAGTTGTTTTCTCAGCGGGTGTGTCGCTGGGTGGGGAAAATCGATTTGAAACGTGAACAGGCAGGTGATGCTTCGTGGACATTCGTTTGGAGCTACGACTCTTGCGAACTGTCACCCAGCCACCTGTCTGAGATCCTGGCTGCTCGGGAAGCTGTGGGGGGCGGCTATCTTGGGCTAAGCTACGTACATGGGCATAGCTAGCTGGCCTATTCTCCATGGTGTGTAGCCGCGCTTCTAAGTCTGTGAGCCTCGCCTCCAATGCTGCTAGCATCTGACATTTATTACAAGTACCATTATCGCTAGAGGAGGCAAAGGAATAACTGAACGTGCGACACTCCGAGCAAGAGAAAGGAGGAGAGGAAGAGGGGGAAGCCATTGCTCTCGATTAAGCTACTAGCTTAGCTAGCTTCTAAACTAGCCGACCTAAAGTAGCAAGTTAAATTTGGTAGTTAGCAAGAACTTCTGCAAAACAAGTGCTTTAAGTGGTGCAAGCGTATGTTGTCACTCAAAAATTCAGATGAACCTAGAAAATAGTGAGTTTAATTCCTAAACAATCTGGAAGCAAGCACAACGCAGTGCAAATACAGAAAACAGGAAATGAGTACGGTTTACCGCAGGAAACAGCAGTCCGTCAACGGTTCATTGCGTGATTAATGTAATGTCCTTTGTGCAGTGTCTTACCCTGGTTAAACAAAGATTAAATAAAATAACTTTGATAAGTGGAATGGAGAAACCAGGGTTCGAACCTCCAGCCCTGCAGTTGGGAGATAACCCGCTCTACGTCCACCCCAGACAAAATGATCTTGGGTTTTGCAAACAGGTTTCAGTGTCTTTTCTTTGTTTGTTTTTATTTTTGTTATTTAGATTTTTATTACAGAATCTTTTTTTCATCCTGTTTTTTTTGAATGTGAATTCAGTGTTAACCTTATTTAGATAGTTGGTTTGTTGTGAATCAACTATCTTTTCCATGTTTTTTTAGTTCATATTAGACACTGATTAGTAGGATACTTGTTGTAAAAAGTCCCCCATCACAAGATCTTTTCTGGAATATTGGTTTTGTGTAGTTATTGGCCCTTATGAGTGTAGTAGTGTTGTACACTTGGCATAGGGGCAAAAGGCCTCTTAGCCTGTTATAAATCATTTTTATGTCATGGTAAATTGAAAGTGACAAATCTCTTGAAACCCACTGTGTGTGCTTTAGAAACATAGTTAAAAGATGTTGCATGTGTTTCTGTGTGTATGTGTGTTGCAGTGGCTATGACTTTGGGTACCTGATAAAGATTCTGTCCAACGCTAACCTGCCTGAGGAGGAGGTGGACTTCTTTGAAGTTCTTCGCTTATACTTTCCAGTCATTTATGATGTCAAGTACCTCATGAAGAGCTGTAAAAACCTGAAGGTACTTTGATAAACACTACAGCTGGTATCACAGAGTATCTCCTAGTTCAGTAATTTAAAGCTGCACACTTTGATTTCTGTCTCTAAGGTTTTACTGTGAGTGGAAGCAAGGAGCTTGAGGGACTGACAGTGTTTTGTTTTCAGGGCGGTCTACAGGAAGTAGCTGAGCAGCTGGAGCTGGAGAGGATTGGACCACAGCATCAGGCTGGCTCCGACTCTTTACTCACAGGCATGGCTTTCTTCAAAATGAGAGAGGTAGGTTCATCAGCACCGAGAGGGGAATTACATTTAAAGTTTTCTTCGTTATCAACATGATCCGCTGATAGTTGTCTGTACATCCATGCAAACGGGAGCTCCTGCTAGATCATTTGGCACACTTTCAATTGTACCAAAGTGACAAATACAGGTGAAAAATATTAGACTCATGTTGTAGTTGTCTCTGTGAGGTTGCTGAGTGGTGATTCAGAGGAAGAGGAGGAAGTCACTAAGCTAAGAAATATTGTGGCACATAAAACCACTTATCAAGATAAAAGTTTTAATTAGTGAACTCTAACCCTGTTGCTAAGATAACCATCTTCTGGCTGGTGTACACCCTACCAGCAAGTGACATCACAACATCAGCAGAATGGTATGTAAAACATACAAAATAATTGAGTATGAATGTGTTTTCAACAACTAGACCAGCCACAAATCTTTGATCGTAGTTTCATTGTGACTTAACTGTAACCATTAAAGTAGATTTAACCCTTAACTGTAGTCTTTCAGGTTGTCCGCGGGGTTTTAAAAAGTATTAAAAAGTGATTAATCAAAATCGCCAAATTTAAGGCCATTAAAAAGTGTTTAATTTGGTTTAGAGGTATTATTTTTTTTAAAATAGGTATTTTTTCAGACTGAGGTGTCCTATTCTGATTGAAATTTTATCTGCTAAAGTTTGCGCTAGTTCGTTTAAATGTGGGCTTTAGCATATCTGGGCACATAATCAAAGATCCTCGTCTAGCCTCAACTTTGTGTTTGATGCTGACGTCACATTCAGTGGTCGTTCGACATCTCAAATAGTTTGCGTGCCCAGCTCAACTGGATAGCCAACTGGCTAGATTACGTTGTTGACTAGTTTGGGCATATCTTCAACATCCAGACAACCATCGTCGTCGTCATGGGCAAATG